TGTTTTGACAAATTAATATTTATGCTTCAAGAGCTGTAACAATGAACATTAGCTTTGAATGAGCTTCTAGGTTAAATTGCTCCACTCGTGAGGCTTTCAGAGCCTTTAAACATTAAAATGTTTAATTGACAAGAAGGCTGGGCCTCTTTGAAATAACCACTTTGAAAGGATGTATGATCAGCATTAGCACATTAAAATAAAGTATTACTGAGTTTTTGTAATTAAAACACCACTCTGAAACTATGTCCTGTCATTTTTCTTTTTAATAATCTTAACATGCAACATGGTTCTCAAAAACCACACATCACTAATGTGAACATTGGGAACAATTAGGATGCTATTTACTGAGCATTAAAACTTTAAAAACATTTCTTGTTTTTACTCATACTCGTTGTCTTCCACTTATCCGGGACCGGGTCGCGGGGGCAGCAGACTGAGCAGAGACACCCAGACGACCCTCTCCCCAGGCACCTCCTCCAGCTCCTCTGGGGGGAGCCCAAGGCGTTCCCATGCCAGCCGAGAGACATAGTCCCTCCAGCGTGTCCTGGGGCGTCCTCTGGGCCTACTCCCAGTGGGACGTGCCTGGAACACCACCCGAGGAAGGCGTCCAGGAGGCATCCGGTATAGATGCCCGAGCCACCTCAACTGGCTCCTCTAGATTTGGATTAGCAGCGGCTCTACTCCGAGCCTCTCCCGGATTTCTTGTTTTTGTCATTTAAAATCTAACTCTGCCTTTGAATAATTTTGGATAGCTTCAGGTAAAAAACAAGGAACATTTCCCAAAATCAAACCAAATTTTGAGGAAAACTACTACCTTTAGATTGGCTCCAGGTTTATTTTTTTAAGTTTTCAACCACCCTTTATAATACTTTAGACTGTCTCTATAGTTTAATCAGTGTGTCCGATCTGATGCAAAATAATTTATTCATGATTAGATGTCTGTAAAATGTAATATTTTGTTGCAAAAAGTAGGTCTGTATTAAATATTACTTGAACATCAGTCATTTAGTTTAATTTATGTTCCTTTAAGTCTCCTCCTCTTCCCTGAAAGGAGAGGAGAAATGTCTACAGAAAAATTTAGAAAACCACCATTAGATAATGACAGAATCAAATTTTAAATGTTATTAATCAAAATAAAAAAAAAGATTTGGCATATACTGATTTATAAATGCAATGTTTAAGGAAATATACAAGGGATGAAATTATAAACCACCAAAACGAACAAATAACAAACACTACCTCTATTTCTAAGACATGGTAAATATAATATTCAGAACATTATTATTTAACCAATAACACTGTATAGGTCACTGGGAGCTTATCAGACCTTCAGATAATCTAAGAGAAAGGTCATTCTGATCCTAATCTAGTTCCAAGGGAAAGAAAGTAGATTAGGGAAGGGGGGTTTAGTCTTTAACACCTGGGCTTACCCACTCCTACAGCAGGGAACACAAGCTTCTTTCATAAAACAGTTCTATAATAAACCAGCAAAGACAGTCCCCTCTCTGAGTTGCCTCTAGTCAGTCAGAAATCCCAAATGAAGCCATGATATCCCACACGTGAGCTTTCAAAAGTCAAGCAGGCATTGTTGAACCAAAGGAGGCGTGGAGCTCTGCAGGGCTGATACGGAAGTTTACAAACGAATTGCCAGAAAACTCCTTCAAGGTTACACACACGGTAGCATCCAACACCTTTTTAGGTTTTGTTCTATTTACAAGCATAACTGCTACTAAGGGAACTATACTTGGAACAAGTGCAGTGATCTGTCTTGAAACACTTTACCACAAATCCTTCAATGAGTGTTTATTTTTAGACATGTGAGTCAATAAACTGCACAGAGATAATCTGAGTGTTTTTGCATACAAGCTTTAACCTGTTGGCCTAACAGACTGTCTGTAAATGGTACAACACACACCCCAGCCACAAAGCGGTTTTTGATATTAGGTTTCTGAGCTGTTGCAAACTGTGGTAAACAGAGACAAAGCGATGAGATTAAACCATTTCATCAGGGTCAGGGACTACAGGTGAAAATTAGCAGTTAGAGCTATAACCTGATACAGTGCATCTCTCTTATGGTTAATGTATACTGTATATTGTCCCTGTTTGAAATAAAATCTTTAAAAAAAAAATAGAATAAATGGTTTAGCGGTCACAATCACAATTTGAGATAAGAAATTAAAACTAAGTCCGGTTGTCATAAAATAAAACAGGAGGGTTTACATGCATTGCACCATGTCTGTGTCTGCTTGTGTCATTTCATTTCAGGTTAGTCTCTGTCCCTGTTGCTTCTATAATTCTTGAAGTGGTTTGTTTTTTGGGAACCACTAGATCAGTGGCTGGGCTAGATCTAAGTCTAAGCCTACAGATGATACTTTCCACAGATATAAGCTGGCAGTCTATTTTTAAAACATAAACAGCTTCATCCTAATTCATAGTAAAGTATTAAGATGAAATTTAACTTCAGTCTCAGCAAAAATACCCAAGAGCCACCACAGTTTTAGATAGTGAGGGAAAAATCAACAAAATATATAAAGTTGAGACCAGTCATTTAGTGTATTTCTAAAGTAAATTGGCTTTTTATTTTTGGTGATTCTGGTCTTTAAAAAGCTAAATTGGGAGCTTGACAAAGTTGTCCGACAGTTTGCAATATTTTCTGCTTATTAGTAAGCTCACAGTAAGCTTTTTATTTTACCACTAGATAAAATGAGCCTAATTTTTTGTTGCCTTCATTTGTTTTTTTTAACAGAATTACCTTTTAGAAAGATAGGTGTGCAGAGCCCAGGTAGTCGAGTTATGACCATCTGTGCTTTCTGACACCCCCCCCCCCCCCCCCTTGCCTTTTTAAGTATACTTTAAATCAGAATCTGATGCCTAATTGGGATATGCTTGCATGTAATTGCATTCTGCTAAGATTATGAACAATAAATAATGTTCACAGACAGGGTACCATGTACAGTTAAGGTTGAAAATATTCATACATCTGGCAGATTTAAAGTAATCTTTAATTTTACTAACATTTTTCTTCTTAGTAGAAGAAATATTAACGGTGGTAACTTAAGTGGTTCAGAGTCCCAACTTGAATCTGACATCTGTGAAAAAATATTAGGGTGATGCCAAGGAGGTCTGCCAACCTCAGACTTGAAGCTCATCACCAAAGATAAACTGTCAAAATTCCAGTGAAAACCTACATTTACCGACCACTTTATTAGGTACACCTTGCTAGTACCGAGTTGGACCCCCTTTTACCTTCAGAACTGCCTTAATCCTTCTTGGCATAGATACAACAATGTTCTGGAAACATTCCTCAGAGAGTTTGGTCCATATTGACATGATCGCATCACACAGATGCTGCAGATTTGTCAGCTGCACATCCATGATGCGAATCTCCCGTTCCACCACATCCCAAAGGTGCTCTATGGGATTGAGATCTGGTGACTGTGGATGTTTGAGTACATTTAACTCATTGTCATGTTCAAGAAACCAGTCTGAAATGATCCATGCTTTATGACGCGGCGCGTTATTCTGCTGGAAGTAACCATCAGAAGACGGTTTGAACTCCAGCAGACCATGTCTACATGCCTAAATGCATTGAGTTGCTGCCATGTGATTGGCCGATTAGAAATTTGCGTTAACGAGCAGCTGGACAGGTGTACCTAATAAAGTGGCCGGTGAGTCTAAATAAAGCTGCTCACCACTTATTGGACAATAAACAATTGGACCTGGCATTTTTTTATTAAAATATAAGCAAAACGTATTCTTTTTTAAAATTGATAACAACTGTCTTCAAACAAATCTGTCCCAGGAACTGACTTAAATGAACTGGTAATTAGTTCATTCTTTAGGTAAATCTTAATTCTATGAGGTATTTACATTGTATGGATGTTTTAGGCAAATTAAAATAAATGTTTCTGGATTTTTCCATTTTGGTTGTCCTTTCACACAATTTCTGCCCAGACCTTGAATCTCTTTCTTTATTCTGGGAGTTTCAGTTTTTTCTCCAATGTAAGTTATGTTTAATAGCAACTCTAGTCAAATGCAAATGTGTTTGCTTTGCTAAGTCACCTCTGGTGAGACCTTCATGTAAAAGCCTTGAGCATAAAGTTCACCCAAACCAAGGCTACAGTACGACATTTTTATGGATGCATGTATGCTGTCTGCCTGTCGATTTTTCAGCCCCTCTGCCTCTGACCTCTGAGCGGAATGTTTTATTTTTAGCTGTATTAGCAGCTCATTATGCTGTTGTGTTCCCTTCTGGGCACTAACAAGGTGTTTGGGGTAGCAGATAAGAGCAGCCTGGAAGACCTTCATGTGTTGGCAGTGGAGAGAAAAGCCGGATGTTCTGACAAGGCTAAACTAGAGCTGCACAGTAGTCTGTCTGAAAGCTAAGGAATCTGTTCAGTATGGAGAACAAGAACACTTTTTTAATCAACTCCTTGAAAAAAAGCTGAATAAACTTATTCTGTCATTTAACATTAACAGAAAAGTTTAATACCAAGATTTATGATAATTGAGCCAAGACGCAGCTTCTAGCTCTATTACTTTCTAGTTAGTTTATAATTGAATATGAATATAAAATGACAGCATGGCGTGATTAAACAGAATCATTTTCATAAATCAGATCCGGGGTAATGATCGGTAAGTTTTAATAATCATAAAATTAAATTATAGCATGGGACATACAAGTTTTCATGTCGCCTGGAGTAAAGCTATCATGTCTGTTTTGTCATACCTTAATGATCACAACTTGCTTCAAAAAATATATATATTACAGCTATCTATTAGAAATCTATTATCTTTGAACTTTGTTTTTAGTGTGCCCTGCAAAACTATTTAGTCTTGTAATTTATCTGCATTTGTTGTTGTTATAACCACAAATCACAGTGCTTTTTATTTGAATTATAAATGGTAAATGTACTGTACTTATATAGTGCCTTTCCAGTCACACTGACCACTTAAAGCACTTTACACTAGAGCCACATTCAAAGATGCACTAACTAACATGCGCACATTCATACACCGATAGGAATCGAACCCACAACTTTAGGATTGCAAGACAACTACTCTTCTCACTGAGCCACAGTCGCTTGAATGTGTTAAGGCTTTACAAAAAAAAGAGTGTAAATCTTAGGAGGAATGTAATTGATCCATCTGAAATGCATTCGTATTCAGAATTTTTTACTCTGAATGCCCCAAAAACATCCCAGTGCAATCACTGGCCTTTTTCAAGTTTATCTACAGAAGTCTTCCTGTGTGTAACTTAGTCTCAGTAGAAATATAGGTTACAGATCACTTGAGACTGGGGCAGAGGTCCACCTTCCAGCAGGACTACAGCCCTCAACGTACAGCCAGAGCTACAATGGCTTTAGATCAAAACAGCGTTTTAGTAGCCCATCTAGAATGGGGATGTATATACAAGTTTATACTGTGAAGCTGCTCGACTAATAATAATGTGAAAGGCTCCTTGTGTTTTCTCCAAACTCAGATGTAAAACATATACTAGGGTTTTGGCTTTTTATTTGTTTTCTTACATTTTTGTTGAAGCAGGATTTTTTTTTTCTACCTACATGCAGTAGTTTTTTTTCACATTGTATTTAGTTTTTAATTGTCAACAAACTATCAGAGCTGTGTTTAATAAAGCATAAAAATGTGTCTCTGTGACCTACAGTTGTGAATTTCAAGGATTTTATTCCCCAACAGTTTTAGAGCTTAGAAGTTATGCTGGAAGGATGAGATGTCTTACTCAATAAATGCAAGGTTATTTACTAAGTTTGTGTCAGAAAGCAACATTTCAGGAGGGTTGTGTGATTTGAAAACTGTGATTTTAAAGATGTATCCCAGAAAACATCTTAAGGATTCTAAAGAAAGGTGTTTGATATCAGTAAAAGGTGGAGGTAGGAAAGTGCGGGGATAAAGAGACTGAACCTATCATATCACAAAGTAAAGCTTTCTTCTGCCTTTATAATCTACTCTTCTTGTCTCTGAAGTTCTAAAATATGTGATAATGAAATGCAGCTAAGCAGAGATGTTGAAATTCTTGTTTTGGTTGAAAGCGGCTGGGGTTGGTTGAAGTTTTGTGAGCAGCTAATGTGCGCACTAGAATGGTACCAAGCAGGTGAACTTTGAGGTGAACATTATGAGATCTTATCAGATCAAATGTCAGGTTAAATGTGAAAGATTGAAGCAGTAGAAATTTCAGTTGTACTTTGAGCTATTTCACCAGTTTACATGAAAACTGAGTGTTTTAACTCAAAAGAAATGTTTCTGAAATATCAGCCAGGTTTCTGAATGAAAGCTGGAAAACTGAAGTTTTGTATGTTCTTTGACTTTAATGCTTTCATACTCATTTTCTTTTTCCTCATGTTAAATTATCTCCTAAAAATAACCTTTTTGAAAAATATAAATTGTGAAAACCTTTTCTGACTAGTTTGATTTATTACAACATGATGTTTTTTTAAATTATTTTGGTCCAAACTGGAAACTGTTATCCATGATAATGTCTGAAGATTGGAAAGAAGAAAATCTACAATTTGTGATGATTCCTTGTTCCAAAATGTCAAAATATAATTTTTTTTACACCACCAACAGAATTACAGAACCTATGACAACACAAGAGGGGGGTTATATTAGATTTGTCATAAGTCATATGCAGTCATTCAAATCAGTCACCTTTTTATAATTTCATTTCCTATTAAACTTGACAGAAAACAAGTGGAATATTTTATCACACAGAAAAAAAATTAAACTTGAAGCTTCCCCCCTTTGCCATTAATGTACCCAAAGTAAGAGAAAATGGCTGGAATCACACAATTTTTTTTAAATGGTTCACTGACTCTGAAGTGGTTTAATGCCATCCATGCAAGAAATTCTGGCAAACCAGAGACACATCCTGAGATTATAAAGTGCAATGTTAATGCACCAATTGAGGCCAATTTCTGATCACTGGTTTTTGTAAAGCTGTCTTACGTGTTCCCATTTTAGCCAATTTCAGTTTCCCTTTAAGAACTATAATTATTTATTTTGAGCTTCCACTTTTATTAGTTCTAATTTCAATCTGTCCCAAATGACTAATAAAATAAATTAAAACCAAAATAACTGTTCTATTGGTTTGGTCAGGTTTGTTAAATATTATTACCTAATATTTAATTGATATTGTACACTGAATATAGGAAGGAAATAATCATATTTCCTTGTAGTAAATAGAGTAGAGAAAATTACTTGTTTTCAAAATGGGTGCAAATGGTCCAGTGGCAAGCAGCTTTGTTTTATACCTGAATTGTAGAGCATAAAATGACCAAAACAGTAAAGGTACAAAATGGCAAAAGGGTGAAATGACCAGCAGTATTTCCTGCCACAAGTGGTGATGATTATTTAAAAGTATCGAAATTTTAACTGCCTTGGTCATCTTGTATGATAACCCCCTGTCTCTGTATAATCCTAAGGGAATGTTGACCTTACCTTAACTCTGATTTCCAACTCCAACATGTTCCATGAACATTTAAAAGGAAAGAAAACTGAATTTGCTGGTCACTGGTGAACTGCAGACATGTCTCCATTAACTTCATTTCTAAGAACCTCACAGATATTAAAAAATTGATAATTCTAAATGTTCTACGCTCAGCAGAAGCATCCATGTCAGAGACTAAATGTACATCCTTCAATCAAACGAGGTGTGAAAATTTTGACAGGTGGGCGGGACTTCCGGTGGCTGGGACATCCTAGGGCGGGACTTCCTGTGGCGGGCCTTCCAGTGACATAACCGGATATCGTCATTAATCGGATGTTGTCATTAGCCGGATGTCGTCATTAACCGGATGTTGTCATTACAAGGAAGCATATCTTTCTAATTGTATGTTTTTAGATGTTTTATACATCTAAAAACAAAACATGTAGTTTATCCAGTTTAAAAGGTCACTCAGGTTAATGCAGGCACATCACACAAAATTCTGATAAAAAGAGAGAACCTGAAAGAATTGTAAATTCATTTTGTTTTAACACAGGGGTTATTTAGATGTTTTTACATCTAAAAAACAAAGATAAAAAAGTAGATAGAGAACCTTTCTTCCTCTCTTCAAATGTTTGAGTAATCTAATCTGCACCAGCAACTTGTAGAGATGATCTAAAAACAGAGAAACACATGAACTTAAAAAATAAAAAATAAAGGTTATAAAATCCTCAGTCACTGTTTATTGAATTAAGGCATCCACAGCTGTTTCTTGTGTATTGTCTCAGACACAGTCTTCACACTGACAGTGGTCTTTTCCAGGCCCAAAGTCTCGAGCATTGTCTCTGACAATTCCCATCCCCTGTTTATTGAATTAACACGTCTGCGCTGTTGCTGAGGTGTCTCTTGTGGCCAAGGGGCGTAACTATGCGCGCTGATAGGATTTCGTCATTAGGGGGCGAATCTAGAATCAAAAAATTAAAAAAAAGAGGGGCGTTCTTCAGTGTTTGTTTTAAATACTAGCGGAAAACGCAACACTCGTTGAACAATGGTTAGAATTAAGAGAGTTTTTCATCAAACCGGGGAGAAAAGCAAGGTGTGCCAAGATGATGAGCAACCATCTACATCATCTATTTCCTCGTCTGAGATACCTATCGGAATTCCTATCGTAACATACTCTGCAGATGATGATCCAACTTCACCAACAACAATGGATGAAAAACAGGCCTCAGGTCAGCTAAGACGTACGTCTCTTCTGTGTGAAACCCCAGTAACTGTCTACAGGCATATGCGCCGTGAATTGGATGCCTCCGAATCAACATATTACCTATGCAAGGTAGAAAGGCCTCCGTTCGACACTCTGCAGGAAGAGTGGTCTTTGGACCCATATGGGGTATATTTTCATGTATGAAATAGGAGAGCTCTGCCTGTATCAATTGGATCAAGACGAGGTATTTAATGGATCATTGGCTCCGTGTACTCTCACCCACAGCGACTGGGCTGTGTTACGGCTGGCAATCCCACACCTTAACGATAACCCTGAATCAGTCTCAGTGTACGAGAGGGAGGATGAAGATGAAAGCTCTCCTCGGCCAGCAAAAACGATGAGAATGTGTCCTTCCAATGTTGAAATAGCTGCGAGAGAACATCTCTTTAGTGCTCTGTTGCTCTGGGTAACGTCACTTCCTGTTTTCGCTGTTGCACTTGGTGAATTGTTTGGTGTGTGAAGCTTTCTCGTTTGATCTGATTTCTCTCTAATGTGATATCTTGTTCTAATACATAAGCACGTTAAAACACTTACTTTCTGTTGCTACTTTTAACGTTTGGGGACTCTCCGTGTTTTACACGGTTTTTCTAGTAGTGGTAAGGGGTCGCTAGCTTAGCTTTAGCTTTAGCTCCACCATGGCTACCCATTCTGCTGTTTCTCTCTCTGAGTCTCCTCCTCTCTCCTGCTCTCTCTGTCAGATGTTCAGTTACTCCTCTGCCTCCTTTAGTGATAATGGTATGTGTAATAAAAGTAGCATTTTTGCAGCTTTGGAGGTGAGGGTGTCGGAATTGGAGGGCCGGCTCCGCACTGTTGAAAAACCAGCAGATAGCCGAGGCCCCTTAGCCAGCGCGGAGCCACCGAGGGTAGCTCCCAGTAGCAGTCCTTCAGCAGAGCTCACGCAGCCGGGGCCTCAGGCCGACTGGGTGACGGTACGTAGAAAGCATAGTCCTAGACCCCAGCCCACAGGTCACCACCAACGCGTCTGCGTTTCTAACAAATTTTCCCCGCTCAGCGACACACCCGCTGAGAAACCAACTCTGGTAATTGGCAGCTCCATAGTCAGAAACGTGGCACTAGAGACACCAGCGACCATAGTCAAATGTCTGCCAGGGGCCAGAACGGGCGACATCAAATCATA